GTCATACTCAAGCTAATGAGGACTTGGGACGAAGGGTTATCGACGGGGCCTCATGGTCTTTTACTGTATTTTAAGTGCCACCTTACAGTGGAGTTTTCAGTCTGGACTTCCAAGTAATTGTTCTCTCTGCTTGTCTATTACAGAAGTCACTACCACCACTATTCCAGAAACAACTAAAGGTAACGTTATGAACTTTCCGCTAATCTTTTTCCCTTGAACCAAAGAATTTCGATCCTTTAATCACTTTACACTGTTATCATCTTAGTGATAAACTTTCAAATTCTGTAACACATGCGATGCCTTTTTTGTGTCATATGTGTTATCCTTGAAGCTCTGAGGCCTTGAGAACAATCAAAATCAAAGTGTTCCCATACGAAATGAGAAATCCAGGATTATTGTAGTTAATGATTATTTCTCCTTTCTCATTATTACCGATTCCTTTACTAAATCAGGTCCTCCTGCAGGCTCTGATATCAAAACAACAACAAGACAGAGGCGCACTCGTATGTATCAATTCAACTTCCAAATATTATTTAAATTAATATTCTCCTTGATTAATATTAACGGCCATCTTCTTGATAATAGATATTTAAATTTCATGTTTCATGTATTGTCTTTTCGGCTCCAAAGACGATCCTCATCGAGGTTCCGATCATGTAGCAAACAACCAATGCATTAATGTTGTAATTAATAGCGAAGTAGTTGTCCGTGATGTTATGGTCAATGGTCAGAAAGTTGACGAGGTCAAGTTCAAACACCTCAGGGCTCGGACCCAAAACTCCACATCTCACCAGTGAACGTCTTTCCCCGTTACAGGGAAGAACTCCCAGAGAGTCTTAGAACTGGGGTGGTTGAGCTACCTCTGAAACGATGGATCAACTCACTCAAGACCGAATTATATAATATCGATTGATTCCAAAAACCTGTGCAGCTTTATTGCCTTTTTATAACCCATTTTTGATTTTACCTTATCTTTTATTAATTCTTGCTAACTCCCCATTTGTTTTCTAGTCTGAGCCCTGTAAATAATTACTTTATCCTGTTTATTTTTATCTAATTTATTTAAAGTCCTGATGGTTTTATTTTATTCGTTTTATTCTGCCGCTTCTTATTAATGATTTATTTGTTTATTTACTTATTTATTTACTTGGAATGATTAAACCTTTTTTAACATTTACAATTAGATTTATATATTTATTTTTATGTGTTGTTTATGGTCAGTAGTATCGGAAATGGAGGCCCTTGGGCCACAGTTATTAGGTTAACTTTTTTATCTCTTGGCATCTGCTGCTGGCCTTGTGTATCTTACATGTATATGTACTGTCTGTATTGTGCTCTGTGCTGTGTCCTTGTGAAGAATGTCGAATAAATAATCATCAATAATAATGTTAATTAGAATTCTGCGTCATCAACGCAATAAACTTTTTAATTCAATGTTGGCTTCCTTCACTAAACAGGTCCTCCCAGTGGCTCTGATGTTGTAACAACAACACAACCTTCTCGTTCTCGTATGTATTGATTTCTTCCAAACCTATTGAAAAAAATTCTGTTGTGGTCAATTAACGTTTTCCGTCTTCGTCAATGAAATCAATCTTTCAATTCAATATCGTGCCCTTCTCTTCCCACTAAATAAGGCCCCCGCTCAAAACTTTAATGACAAATCAACACGACCAACGTGCACTCGTCTATGTATCTACTGTCCCTCCAAATATTAAAATGAATATCCTGCTAAATTACTCTTGATTGTAACAGCTTTTTAAATTAAACTAGCAAGATTCCTTGCCCTTTTGTTCCCATTCTGCTTCCAAACCAGGTCCTCTTGTAAGTTCTGGTTTTGTATTGAACGACGTGCACATGATGTATAATCCCCATACCCCAAAACCATAATCCAAACGTGAGCTTCATTTTCTCCGAGAGCAATAGTCAGAAATCGATAGAGTGGGTATGGAATAAAAATTTCTCGTTTGTTCCACTCACAGTGACTTCGTTTGAAGCTCCTGATGCATTGAAAGAATAATGTGTAACACAATTTCTTTTCTGTCAAATGGAAGTTGAAATAATTTATCCGGCAATACAGTCACTGCATTCAAATCTGCAGTCATCACGCAATTGTTATAGTTTATTACCTCATTGTAATTTCTTTCAATAGCCTGAATTGAAGTTGTGAACTTTACCTCTGTCAATTTGTGACGAAGTGTGGAGTTTATTTATTTCCATCACGTTGAGTACTTCGAGCCTTTTCAGTGCGTTTTGTTGATGTAACAGGATAGGTTTTGGCCGTAAGAGCAGAACCCTTAATTCCTGCGTTCTGTGGGCCTTTCAAATCAGTGTGTTAAGATAGTGTGTAATGATGTAAACATAGCATTTGAATTACTGTTATTATAATTCCTTTGGAAGGACAGAAAAAGCAAAAGTCTCACATAATCAAGATTGTGATCTCTACAGCACATCATCGCAAAACATGCCAACCTTCAATTTGATACCGAAAACTAGTGGTTTTGACATTATGTTATTTTGGCAGAAAATAAATGATCCTTTCAAGTGAAGCTCCGCAAAACACATCGATGTAAAATTCCACAAGAAAAAATCATTCAGGGTTTCTGAAATTTACGAAAACCCCATTCCAGAAGAAATGTAACGCTTCACAGTTTATCGCAATGTTATTCGTTAATAGCAATGTGACCAACTTTCTCTTGTCTGGATAAACTGATGATCGAAATTTTGTTCACAAAATGATTCTTGCGGTTAATTTCAATTGTCATCATCAATGCACACAATTCGTGAATGTCATAGTTTTGATGTACCTCCCTGTAGTTTCTACTGGCTTTTGGCCTAAACAGTCCAGTTAACAAAGTTTCCTGCAGACAAAAGGACATGATAACAAGGGTTGTCAGCAGAGTTCATGACCTTCATGCAGCTTTCCAGTCCTCACTGAAAAAGACGCCTAAACATTCTTAGCTCTTATCTATTACAGGAATCACTACCACTACTCCTACAACGACAACTCAAGGTAAATGAATGAGCTCTCTTCATCACTTCCCAATAAATCCAATTTTTTTCCATCTTTTGACACATTTCTACAGAAGCTACTCTCCGGTTACATTTGAATGGCTTCCTGAATTATCTGTGTATTGGGCTATTCTGAAACTTGTTATGTTTGTACTCTTTCCACAGTGGTGACCACAACCACTCAGACCTCAACACCGACAACGGCAGGTATGCCTTGATATTTGCCTTTCAAGCACTTTAATGCATTCAGTTTAGCCGGCTGTAGTTCAGGCACCTTCTGAAACCCAGTTTGTCGAAAAAGCGGCCATATAAAATCTGACGCTTTTCCCACC